ATTTAAAAAATGAGCTCGGTGCCGAAGTTGCTGGAGTCCAAACGGCATTAGCCATCGACTTGAAGAAATGCAGAAATGCCGAAACTGCAGAAGTGCGGAAAGTGCAAAAATGACGAAAAGCATTACATACGTATCGATATGAAGAAATGCAGAAATGCCGAAAGTGAAGAAGTGCGGAAAGTGCAGAAATGACGAAACTGCGGACAATCGATACGTATCGGTTGCTTTTCTGCACTTTCGTCATTTCTGCAGATTCCGCATTTCTTCACGTTCGGTTATTTCTGCATTTCTTCAAATCGATACGTATGTAATGCTTTTCGTCATTTCTGCACATTCCGCACTTTCGGCATTTCTGCAGATTCCGCGCTTCTGCAGTTTCGGCATTTCTGCAGATTCCGCATTTCTTCACTTTCGGCATTTCTGCAGATTCCGCATTTCTTCACGTTCGGCATTTCTGCATTTCTTCAAATCGATACGTATGTAATGCTTTTCGTCATTTCTGCATTTCTTCACGAACGCAAGCTATGAACGCGGCCTTACAACGGAATGGTTTGAACCTCCCATGGAACTTTGAATGTAGACCTAGGGACATAAATAGAGTCTCGAATGCTGATTACGATATGCAGATTAAAAGTGCTACGGGGATCTTCCAGACGAGTTCTGGGCGTTCAAAGTTTGCGAAATCCCGGCTTTGTCTCGTAAGCGCTGCTGATCGCTTATTAGCCAGTGTCACCGTGGCCTAGTGGTAACGGTCTCGCTTCGAAGCCAAATGCTGGTGGGTTTGCATCCCGTCGGCGTGAAAACTTTTGATTCGTCTCCTATAAGAGCTTTCACTCTAATTTCCGAAAAGATAATTTTTAAAACAAATTTTACTCCTAACAAAAAAAAGGAACAATGAGGATTGTTTCCGAAATTACGGCCCAGCAGAGCAAGTAGATCAAGTATTGACGTACTCGATCAAGTATGGATTTGATCGCTATCTGTCCTCTCTGAACTCATTACCCATCCGACAATTCGGAGTCTTGACGACCACAATCACAATTTGGCCAAAAACTCGTTCCTGGTAGATTTTGACTCCCCTGAGAAGAATATCATATTCGTTTGGCGAGAAAACGATTGGTTCCCTCGTTCAGTTGATGACCACAGCAACGTGAAAGACCACAAACGTTCTCTCGGCAAACGAATATGATCGTTTTCAAGGGGGCAAAATGCCCCAGGGACGAGTTTTTGGCCAAATTGTGATTGTAGCCAATACTTCGAATGTCGCACGGGTAATGAGTTCAGAGAGGACAGATAGCGATCGATTCCATATTGAGTCGAGTACGTCAATACTTGATCTACTTGCTCTGCTGGGCCGTAAACTAGGAGCAGTTTCGAAAATTAGAGTGAAAGCTCTTATAGGAAACAAAGCAAAGGTTTTCACACCGAGGGATGCAAACCCACCAGTATTTCGAGGCGTGACCGTTACCACTAGGCCACGGTGACACTGGCTAATAAGCGATCAGCAGCGCTTACGAGACAAAACCGAGTTTTCGCCAACTTTGACCGCCCAGAACTCGTCTGGGAGGTCCCCCGTAGCACTTTTAATCTGCACATTCGTAATCAGCATTCGAGACTCTATCGATGTACCTAGGTCTCCATTCAAAGTTCCATGGGAACTTCAAACCATTGTTCCCTTGTTGTGTGCACCCAGATTTATTTACGGCTCCTTTGGGGGTACACTTTTTCGTGGGTCGCCTACTGAAGTTACCGTACTGTGGGAAAGCTAGCGTACGCTGCCACATAGTATGAGCGCAGCCTAATGGGGGAACTTTTAGGTTTTGCGTTGCACCCAAAGCATACTCACCTACTTATTTGCAACTGCTTTTTCGCCTTTTCTAGTGTTTACTACCTAGCCTTGTTGGATTACCAACCTACGATAGTGTTGTATTCAAGTTCTGCCGCTAATTACTAAATTACACTGAATTAACGCTCACTGGGTACAGCAAAACACGCGCGATACTATCTCGGCGAAGAGGGAGCAGAAGAGCGGCGCTCGCGTGTACCGGTCGCATCTATTCCTACAGCGTCCGCGCAACGCGTGTTGACCGCGGCGCTCCTGGCATTTTGCCATCCTTTGGTGATTCACGCTTCCAATGGCGATTAGAACGCGAACCTCGCTGAGCGGGACTTCAATTGAAGATCAGTTAGTTGTTTCAAAGTTGCATGCCTTGCGCAATTGCGCTTCAATGAGAAGAACGTGAACTGAAGAGCAGTTAGCCAGTTTCAGAGACTCATACACAACGCAAGCGCATTTGAACGAGAAGCACAGAAAGCATTTAGGTAGTGTTGACCGCGACGCTCCTGGCTACTGGTAATACGTAACACATGAAAATTGGACGACGCTCTTCCTGCATAGGAAGAACGTCATGCAGTGACGCGAGGACGTATCTGCATATATGGGTACTGTTCAACTATTATTACCTAGGAACTCGCAAAAAAGGACTGCTGAAACTTTGCCTATACGGATTACTCGATGCCCCGATCAGAAGTATGACATTCGCTTTTGATGCGCGCATTTAAGCGCCAGTAGGCGCCGACTTAACACCAACACTTTCCTTACCAATGGCGATGTAAACTTGCTAACCGGGGTAATCGGTGCCCTGATCACAATATGACATTCACTTTTAGCTCTGACTTTGCCGTAACACCCTTTTCACTAAAACTGATTAAAACGCGTAATGGGGTTTCCATTGTCACGAAAATGGCATACACTTTCCGATTCAGCGCTCTGCTAAGGCTAAGCCTGGGAGAAGGATTACCTTTGGGCCAGGCCCAGCCTCAGCGGAGCGTAGATGACCGTAGAATGTTGTGTTAGTGCCTGCACCAGGAATGAATGTCATGTTCATGATCAAGATCTCAAATAGCCTGCATGTTTTAATCGATTTTTGTGATCGAGAGCGTTTTTGCGCCGGCGCCTGTGGTGCGAGCACCAGTTTTTCGGGCCAATTAGGAACAATGAGCAACAAATATTGGGGAAAAGAATACACTCAAAACACAGATGATCCGTTTCGCCCGTTATCGCACAATTTTAGTTATGTTAAGGAATGAACAAGCGGGTGTGGATATGTTCAGGGGTCAGAAGACCCTCCTGGCCATGTTATCGGCGAATTTGGTAATTAGCGCATTTCGGGCGCTGGCGCCCATGGAGCAGCGCTAGCCAGTGCTAGGGTACGGATTCGACACTTGAGTTAGGGAGGTCGAAGTACTCATGGAAACAAATTTTTAGCCGACTCTGCCCTCTCAGGGGAAAATCGGTAAAAAACTGGCTAGGTGCCTGAAGATTAAGGTTGTAATTTTGCATACCTGAAAGATCATGAGGTCAATCAGTCCACATCATTTTCATTTTAATTGCGCTTTCGATGTGTATGGAACTCTGAAACTGGCTAACCTCTTCAATTCATGTTCTTCTCATCGAAACGCCATTGCGAAAGGTATGCAACTTCGAAACAGACTAACTGATCTTTAACTCAAGTCCCGCTCAACGAGGTTCGCGCTATTCTTTGGTGGTTCACGCTATTGGAAGCGTGAACCACCAAAGAATGGCAAAATGCCAGGAGCGCTGCGGTCGATACGCGTTGCGCGGACGCTGTAGGAATAGATGCGACCCGCGTGTACCCTCACCCCATATACGTTTTCACCGGAAAAATGTGCCGTTACACGCAAATCTTGAACACTCCAGTACATTTGCCGTTTCCAGGCAAATGGGTAGTGGAACTAACTTTCTCGCCGTAATGGATAGGCATTTCAATTATATTTTGTATTAACTTTTTTAGATTCGATCGCCACGAACTCGAGCGTGCGCTTCTCAAAAGTTTGGAAGAGGAGCGTTCAAGAGAGAAAGAAAAGCCAAGTAAAAAATCGAGCAGATCGAAAGCTAATAAGGTAATTCTCTGTTGCATTTTTGCTCGACATTTTTAGAACTAAGTCCTATTGAGAGTTCATGTTTTGTTTGAGAGCGAGGCCACTGCAAGCGTTGTTCCAAGAAAGAAGAAGGTTGAAGAACTTTCCCCCAAAGCGGGCAGAAGTGCAAAAAAAGAGCAAAAGGAAAGTGAGGAAAAGGTATGGACACAGCCATGGCATCGTCTTTTTTTATTGAAGGTCTATCAGAATTAAGCCTCATTCATAGTTTATTGTTCATGACTATTTCAGAAAGGTGAGCAGCCTTCGGCAACCACCCCAAGAGCGGTTGAAACTGAGCAGATAGCTTTGAAGAAAACAAAAACTGCGTCTGTCGTGAATAGAAAAGAAGATTCTTCTACTCAAAACAGCTCCCAAGGGACAAAAGCAAAAAAGCAGCCAACGGTGAAAAAAAGGGATATATCAGTGAAGACGAAAAAGGAAGAAGGCCAAGTAGTGGTGGCGGAAGGAAGCAGTAAATCAGAAGACTCAACTGTGAGAGAACCGAAGCCGGCAACGACCGGTTTGGTAACGGACAAGAAGGCGAATTCAGAAGAAAAAGAGCGATCTGTGGAGGCAGGAGAGGGAGAAGATTCTCAAAAAACGAAAGCAGAGCCCGAAGTTCGTCGACTTCCACCTCCTTATCGACTGCCCTCAAGAGCTAGTGATCTTATCACTTTACTGGCCTGTGCTAAGGAAGTCCTTGGGGATCACGAGTATTCTAGCGATCAAGATTAGTAATTACCTTGCAATCAATTTCGGCTGCTATATACCACTATTACGTGTTAACCTCGCTTACTTCTTCTATTATGCGTCTTCTGCTAATATCACTCAGCTTCGTATTCGCGCTTCTTATTTTTCAAAGTGGATTCCTACTCAAACGAACGGAACTCCATATGCGAAGTAACTGTAGTGATGCTAAATTACATCATTCCGAATGCTGGATGCAACGACAATTCAGAAGAGTGAGTTTTTTTCGAGAATTTGCCATCATTCGGTGGTGAAGAGAACGTCGCAGAAAGAGCGATGTACCCTTAACTCTGGTCATTCCGTCGAACTATATGTGGGGTAATGTGCATTCCTTACAGGTAGTTTTCTTGCTGGTTGATGCTCTTCGTTACGATTTCTTAGTGCCACTGGAAGAGAATGCTCCGAAGTCATTTTTCCGCGGTCAGATGCCAGGTGTGGCAAAACTTATAGAACGTGGAGCTGAGATAGGCCTTCTGCTTGCTGATCCACCGACGACAACTCTTCAGAGAATAAAGGCTCTTTCTACAGGTACGAGGTCTTCTGGCATGAACCGTAGTTATGCGAACCGGATTTCGGTCGTCCATTGCTTTTCTTATGTTTAGGATAAATTGAAGTTGTGTATTCAAACCCGGATTTTTTCGATCCAGGCCTTTGACCCCCTTCACGGTGTTATATGGTCCCTTCAGTCCTTTCACCCAGAAGCTTGGGATTCAAACTCATATAAAGCACCGCAAGCACCGCGGTCTTCAAGCTGAGATTGCGCGGTAGAGCTTCACATCCGTAGAAGGTTAGCTATGGGTTTTCTTCTACGACATCGTTTTCTGATTCCCTACCCTTTGGCGTTCTTCAGTAATTGGATCTTGTGTGTATCATTTCAGTGATGTGCTTTTCGATTTTGAAGGCTGCAAAGCGGACAGTTCACGCGGAAACGCCAGTCTAATAAAGCGTCTTCAAGAATCTCGGAAGGCTGAAATTCATATTTGTGCTGCGATTTTGAATAGGTGTTGCCCGTAGTGACATCGTCACTCACTTTCTTAGCCCTAACCTATTCGTGAGCGAACTTTGTGGAACACAACTGACTAGCTTCATGGAAACTAATAGAACTGAGCACCTGAGTGAATATTGCAATTTTCCCTTTGCGCAATTTCAGGAACGCTCCCTACATTCATAGACGCCGGTGACAACTTCGCTCCTAGTTCTAACATCAATGAAGATAACATATTCTTTCAAGCGCGGAGCAGAAATCTCAACGTGACCTTCATGGGAGATAATACATGGTGAGTGATGAAAACATCAAAACACCGGTCGGCGAGCCGGCGTGCCTCCTTCTTTTATCTGAACGGCGCTAAAGTAGTTGGGAAGGGCTCGCGGCGAGCGATGACTCATCTGCTCTTCTGCTCCCTCCTCGGCAAAATAGAAGTAATTTCGTGTTTACGACATGAATATAACTGCGCTTTAGCTATATTCATATGTTTAAACAGTTAACACTGAAAAGTGCAAAGAAACAGTAGGCTACAAGGTTCTTGTTGTTGCATGTTTGTCGTTGACTGTTATTGTTGACTACAAAAAAAAATCAAGTTTTTAGCTTCTGTGGAATTTTTTTCAGCAAGTTCCCGATGGAACGTGTTTGTTTTATTCTGATTTGGCTGCCAGATCCGCGTTTCAAATATGCCGATGAGTGAAGAGCAGATGAGTCGTCACTCGCCGCGAGCCGCGTGGCCCCTTTCAACTACATTAGCACCATCTGAACAGATAACCAATACTCCTTCACCACTAACATCGTACCTGCTATTTTCAACACTAGTACTGTGCATGACATTATGGTTGGGAGCATTGATGAAGTGCAAAGAAGACAGAAAGCCGGGTATCAGTCGTGCATTTGAACGTGCGAAAGCAGGGGCAAGCCACGCTCGCCCGGCAAGGCAGGGCTGTATCACAGAGAAGGGCGTCAGCCGGCGAGCCGACTGGTATCGAATGCATTTACGACGACGGGTGGTTAAGTGCATGGCTGCCGATGCGCTAAGCTCAGCAAGTATGCAGCTCGTGCTTGAAGGCACTCTCACCACTGTGAACGGGTCTCTATACAGATACAGTCACCATCGCAGTATGTTTCTTTTCCCCAACGTCTGGTCAATAAAGTCACTCAGGTCCGAAATATAAAACTTCGTAGCAGGCACCGCCCATCTCGAAAGCGTCCCGCCCATTTTGAGGATGTCTGAGGAGGCGGTCGAATGGCGTGCCCGCCAGCTGTCATATTGTTTTTGAGACGCTGCTGGCGTAACTGCCACCTCCTCCGAGTCCCTGCAGCCGTTCACTTGGATCGGACAACTCGTCCAAGTCACCTATCATCTTGGTTCTCGTAATTGATTGAACAACACTGGTAGGAGGCCAACATGAAGCTGAATTGCGAACTGATGACGTATCGCACACTCGTCAGTTTTTGAACTCATTTTCGACTTCCTTCCCCGAACTCTCCTCTGCGAACCCCACTATTATTCTGTTTCTGGTGAGTTTTGTTCAGTTGCTTAAATACTTATTTCCATGCTGTTTGCTTGCTGGAAGAGCTTAGGTTCATGGGATCACGATACTTTCGGTTCACACACCGCTAGCTTCTCCTTCTTAAGTGCCCTCAAAGGTTCCTGACAATTTTTGTGCATCACTCCGTGTTCCTCAACGTTCTGCATCTACAATAGAAACATCACATTTTCATTTCTTTTACCTGGTATTACTAGAACAATTGTGCGTCTTACGCTAGTGAATACGCGAAGTATGCCATGTCGTCACTAAAATAGTTCAGCGAAACATTATTCTTCGAAACTCATCAATTGCTCTGTGGAACCCTTCTCTTGTGTTCAGTCCCTTAACTGTATTTATGAGTAGAATCTAAAATTCTGAACTCGCTGACGAGTGACATCCCTCATTAATTACTGCCATAGGGGAGTGCGACGTTGCTGATTTCGTTTGATATGCCCAAAGGAGGCACAAAATCTCCCATACATCTTCTCGAAACTCCGTCACTCCCCTATGGCAGTAATTATGAGAAATGTCACTCGTCAGCAGATCAGAATGTTAGTTCCTCACGAATACTGTTACATTGAGTGTTGAACTGAGATGTAAAAAATTGTTAGGAACTCTTAAAAGTAAGCCTTACCAAAGAAAAAAATAAGCTGTGAGCAAATTGAGAAGAAGAATATGTCATGATCCTATGGTGATCATGAAACTATGCTCTCCCAGCAAGCAAACAGCATGGAAATTAAGTTTATAAGCAATGTACAAAACATACCGCTGTATTAGTATCGCCGCAGTTGTACAGATATGCAATGAGGAATATACTAGTCGACAATCATCATCATAGCTGGACAGAATAATACCCGACAGTGTTTGTCCAAATGAATGGTAGCAGAATAGTTGGGGTTCGCAATAGAGGGCTGGGCGAAAGAAGTCGGAAATCAGCTCAAAAACGGACGAGTGTGCATAGTTAAGTCACCAGCAATGCCCATCTTGCCAGTGTCGGTCACTCAATTACGAGAATCAAGGTGATAAGTGGCTTGGACGAGTGTCGATTCGAGAGGATGGCTACAAAGGCTCGATGGAGCTGGCAACTACGGCAAGCAGCGTACCAATTACGTTATAACAGCTGCCAGGCATGGTGTGTGTTTCTTGAAAGATCTCACTTCACACCTATAATGCCTCTCGGGAGACTCGCCTGCGGTGTTGCCTGACTTAATCGCTCTCTCACTAACTCCTTACCTTTCCTCTACTTGACGATTACATCATGATAACTGATTATTTGATGCTGATTTTTTAGCAGATCTAATAGAATTAAGAACTACAATTGAAAGAATCTGAATCACATGAAACAAAGATGAAAAGCATCCTAAAATGAATTAAAATGAAACAGAAATAAAAATAAATTCAATTTGAATTAAATTGAGCTTAGATGGCAGTGTTAGTAACAAATCTAGACATTTTTCTACAATATTCTTCCGCTTCGTAAACCTCGTAGTGTTTGGTCCCATACATGCATTAAAAAGTGAACGAATGAGGTGCCCACAATCCTGTGAATTATTACATCTCGTTTTCCATATTTGCTTGCCTGTCGTTCGCCCATGTAAATTAAAAATAAATTAAATTGTGTGGTTGTGTTTTTGCTGTGCCGTGGTTGTGTTTCTGCTACGCTAAAAGGGAATCTGAAGATTGCTGAGAACCTGGAATGGAGGTATGTGCAAGTGAAATGAGAGTTGTGTGCTGATGGTGGATATGACAATGAAGCCGGCGCGATAAGAGCAGGAAGCGAAGTTAAGCCGAAGTCTGTCTCATCGAAATGTATGGCGTCGCGGTGTGTGCTTCCGACTAAAACATAAAACGAGGGCGCATGCATAGTAGTATACTGCTCCCGAAGAACCGATGAGGTTGTGTACAACCAAGAATCATATGTTGAGTTAGTAGTGCTTTGTGCGACATCAAATGAAAAAGAAAATGTGTACAAAGGGAAAGCGAGTGATGCACTGCCGGAGACATCACGGAAATTCAGAGAATTGGTGGGAACGGAGGAAAGGGAGTGAATGTTATCGTTCATGCTCCACTTGCGCTACACAAACAACAGTGCTAAAGATTTCTGCTAAACAGCCCGCTTAGTTACTGATTAGCGACAACCATTATATCAGGTGTGACGTTGGTAAAAGAGGTACCTAACAGTTAAAAGTACTGACGGTAATGTTTAAAGATCTAACCTCCCTAGAGATGGCATCAATAGAGTTCAGTTACAGCGAGTTCTTGGCGCAGAACACATTCATACATCTGCACCTTCACCTCGGGGGAAGTAGTAATGTAAGCAGGGAGGTTCAATGTCTATATTAAAAAAGCAATGGTGATAAAACGCTCCCTCGATGGACTCCACTTTGACAGTGGTCTCTGTCAGAGAAGCTGTGACGAACTCTGACGGTCATGTGTCGTTGATTTAGAAAGATCTCAGCTCTAGAAGCTGCCCAGAAATCCCCAGGCGTTACAATTTGACTAGCAATCTACGGTGGCAGACCCTATCAAATGCTTTTGACAAGCCAGCGAAGACAATGTTTACGGGCTTTCCACTGTTCAGAGCGGTTTGCCAGTCAAACAAGCTATCTAATAGTAATCGGCTAATAGTCGAATGCTTTGTTCTATTTCAGCCCTGCTGCTTTATTGCGTTTATTTCAGGACGTCTTTATACCCAGACGTTTTTTCACGTTCTCATCCATTTGATAGTTTCGATATCAACGACCTCAACACTGTTGATGACGCCGTACGAGGTAGGTGATATTATACTCTCTGCTCTTCAAAGTTAGTGTTGCGGTTTTGTGATAATAGCCTTCTGTGAACGGAATACCGCTCTCTGCTCTACGACTCTTAGTGAGTGGATGGCGCAGAAAATTATCTCATTTCTTGCGAATTTTACATTCTGTCGATTGTTTGCGGCGGCGGTAAACTCAGTATTCTTGCGTACACGGTCGGTTGGAAAGGTGATTGCACTGCGCCTAGAATCGGCTGCATTGTCATGAGAGACTTCTATTACTATCTCTGAAGATCCCATTCAGTTATATGCGTTAGCATCCATACAAGCATCCCATAACAAAAGCGGGCGTATACTCTAGTCCGCTGCGGATGAAGGGGCGTGTCATTCATATGGGTGTTCCACGGCACGGAACCCGTTCACGGCCAGTTGCTGAAGCAGATATGCGAAAACAGTTGGTTGAAAATACGTGATACGTCTTGTCAGTTATTCTGGTGAAGAACGGGTTTTGCACCGCGCCAAACTCATCCCGCCTATTACGCCCTTCCTTCCACTATGAAATGAACTAGACAAGGTCTGAGTTCTATCGCTTCCCCCGAATTTGCACTTTTTTCTACTTAGGTGTAGGTAATCTCCTGCGCCACATAACAGGGAAGGAAAAGCAGATAATTGGATGTGTTGGTTAACAGGGAAATCAAAGAATGTTACGTTGCGCGGATTTCTCGCACACCTCGATTATCCAATGGTGTACAAAATGAGAATTGAGTCTTGGAAGCAGCCCTATGAATCTGAGGTTATCAGAATTTGCCAGCCGCTCATTTCCAGAGTTACTTCGTGAAGAACTGCGTTCTCCACAAGTTTCCGATTTCGTAATCGCACATGTTATTGGAGTGGACCATTGCGGACACAAATATGGGCCAGATCATTATCAAATGGCTTCCACATTGAGAAAGGTCGAGATATTCACTTACAGTGCTCCATATGTGATGACGGTTATTGTATTCATTGCCACAACTATTTTGCCTGACGGGATTTTCACGGCTTGCCCGTTTTCCATAAATTTTTTTCTTCTCAAGTTTCGGAGAACCTTGTAAAGTTGTTGTTCAACGACTGATCTACTTTAGATTGATGACATCATTGTGGAGACGGCGAATGTTTTATCGACTGGAGATTTGCTTATTGTTCTGGGGGATCATGGTATGACTACTTCAGGAGACCACGGCGGCGATAGCGATGATGAAACACAAGCTGGTCTTCTGGTAATTATCTTTTCGTTTTCAGTTTTACTGGGTTTTTGTGCTGTTTTGTAACTATTCTATTACTTTACGAGATAGACAACGTGCTGTCATTGTAGGTATTTTTCTCCTGATCGGCAGTTTCCAGCTCTCCCTAATGGTCTCCATCAAATTGATTTAGTGCCGACGTTGTCGCTTTTGCTCGGTCTTCCTATCCCGTTTCTCCAATCTCGGAGTCGTGATTGAATCTCTCTTCCAAAGAATCTCACCGAGCAAGCGATCGCCCTGAATTATGAGGCAAGTTAGAAGGTCCTTCTTTTTGTTAACCTCTCGATTCTTGTCAAACACTGTCAAGCTTCTTTTTTCCATCAGATGTCTCCTGCTCGTTTTCTAAAAAAAACTAGAACTGATCCCCCTTGAAGTTTGCTTCGCAGGCTGAACACCTTTACACGAGAAAGTTTTTTGCAACAGCGTATTGACTGTGATTTTGTACACTCCGTGCCGTTTGTCGCGGTCTTTGTAGAATTCGTGAACGAAAAATACACCCAGTGCTTTAGAGGAGCACATACAGTACCTTGCTGAAGGTTTTTTGCGTTCAGGTCCAGAGCATTCTGGGTGAGTGGCAGTCCGAATATAACTATGAACATGACGTACCTCCGGCAAGTGTTGGGTTGGCACATAAGTACTGGCGTTTTCTTCAATTGAAAATTCTGTTCCAAAAGTGAAACGTTTTGCAAGCAGCTTGATATCATCTGATAGGAAAACTTCTCGTAGTATAAGCTAGTAGCTAATAGTAGCTTTGGTTGGGCAATAATTTTTTGTTAATTTTTTAGTCGTTGAAGTTGAAAGTGATGTCGGCGAAAATCAGCACCTCGACAAATGCCTCTATTTACGTCACTCGAAGTTCTAAAATATCTTAAGCTCCTTCATTACATTTGCAAAAGGTTGAGCTAGAAGTCCCAGCAAAGAAATATCAATAGGACGCTTTGGAACTAATTTTAAGAATTTGCAAAGTGCCAACCTTCCACCTCGCCGATATTGGGCAGGCTCACTGCTGGCAGAGGTCTGTTTCACCTGAAATTTTATGTTAATAGTTGAATGTTTCGCTAATATATTTGCATTTTCTGATAGCAAATAATGTGCTCTATAATACTGCAATGGAAATCTGATCTCCAGAACTGTTTACTCCCTGCTAATTTCAGGTTATCATTACGGAGTGTGAGGTCGATGAGAATTAGCGTTCCCGACTCCCTCCCCCTACGCTGTCCACGGAAGCTTCAAAGCCCCTAGAGCAGCTCAATAGAATTGCCATGGTGTGAGTAAGAGCAGGCATAGAGTAACATATAGTATTAGGACAGCTCACAATTGATTCTGGAAAACAGCGACAACATGTTGACCTTGCGGACATCTGGTCGACCCATACCTCACGATTTTTTTTTGTTTTCCTTAGTAAATTTCAAACACAGTATTTACAACACTATAAAAAATGTAGATAATTCACAATAAGTAGTCAAAGAAAGGTATATTTTCCAGTGTTTCTTACAACACTCCTCCCACTGATCAGCCAGCTGTTCAATGCATCTTCTCGCGGTAAAAATTCATACATACCATATTACCTGGAAACAAGGAAATCAACGGATTTTCAAAATTACTGCCCAGTTCAGTTTATAGAGCCCGAATTTTGCTATTCCAGACATACAAAACACATTAGCGAAACATTCAACTGTTAGCATAAATTCGTGGAAATCGGGAACGCTAATTCTCATCGACATCACGTTCCGTAATGTATAACCTGAATTTAACAGAAAACAGTCAGCCTCCGGAGAACAGATTTCCACTTGCAGTGTTATAGAGCACGAAATTGGCTATCAAAACGGTGCGAAACAACACAGTGCTTTAGAGGAGCACATACAGTACCTGCTGAAGGTTTTTTGCGTTCAGGTCCAGAGCATTCTGGGTGAGTGGCAGTCCGAATATAACATGAACATGACGTACCTCCGGCAAGTGTTGGGTTGGCACATAAGTACTGGCGTTTTCTTCAATTGAAAATTCTGTTCCAAAAGTGAAACGTTTTGCAAGCAGGCTTGATATCATCTGATAGGAAACTTCTCGTAGTATAAGAATATCTAGTACAGCTTTGGTTGAGGCAATAATTTTTGTTAATTTTTTAGTCGTTGAAGTTGAAAGTGATGTCGGCGAAAATCAGCACCTTCGACAACTGCCTCTATTTACGTCCACTCGAAGTTCTAAAATATCTTAAGCTCCTTCATACATTTGCAAAAGGTTGAGCTAGAAGTCCCAGCAAAGAAATATCAATAGGACGCTTTGGAACTAATTTTAAGAATTTCAAAGTTGCCAACCTTCACCTCGCCGATATTGGGCAGGCTCACGTCTGTTCCACCTGAAATTTTATGTTAATAGTTGAATGTTTCGCTAATATATTTTGCATTTTCTGATAGCAAATAATGTGCTCTATAATACTGCAATGGAAATCTGATCTCCAGAACTGTTTACTCCCTGCTAATTTCAGGTTATCATTACGGAGTGTGAGGTCGATGAGAATTAGCGTTCCCGACTCCCTCCCCCTACCGCTGTCCACGGAAGCTTCAAAGCCCCTAGAGCAGCTCAATAGAATTGCCATGGTGTGAGTAAGAGGCAGGCATAGAGTAACATATAGTATTAGGACAGCTCACAATTGATTCTGGAAAACAGCCGACAACGTTGACCTTGCGGACATCTGGTCGACCCATACCTCACGATTTTTTTTTGTTTTCCTTAGTAAATTTCAAACACAGTATTTACAACACTATAAAAAATGTAGATATTCACAATAAAGTAGTCAAAGGTATATTTTCCAGTGTTTCTTACAACCTCCTCCCACTGATCAGCCAGCTGTTCAATGCCTTCTCGGTAAAAATTCATACATACCATATTACCTGAAAAACAAGGAAATCAAACGGATTTTCAAAATAACTGCACAGCAGTTTGATAGAGCCCGAATTTTGCTATCAGAGCATACAAAACACATTAGCGAAACATTCAACTGTTAGCATAAAATTCGTGGAAATCGGGAACGCTAATTCTCATCGACATCACGTTCCGTAATGATAACCTGAATTTAACAGAAAACAGTCAGCTCCGGAGAACAGATTTCCACTGCAGTGTTATAGAGCACGAAATTTGCTATCAAAACGTGCGAAACATATTAGCGAAACATTCAACTATTAACATAAAATTTCAGGTAGAACAGGCGTGAGCCTGCCCAATATCGGCGAGGTGAAGGTTGGCAACTTTGAAATTCTCAAAATTCATTCCAAAGCGTCCTGTTGAGATTTCCTTGCTGAGATTTCTAGCTCAACCTTTTCCAAATGTATGGAGTAGCCTAAGCCAAGCACATCGAGTGGACGTAAATAGAGGCAGTTGTCGAAGGTGCTAATTTTCGCCGACTTCACTTTCAACTTCAACGACTAAAAAATTCACAAAAATTATTCCTTCAACCTAGCTGTTTCGATATTCTTATACTACAAGAAGATTCCTGTCAGACGATATCAAGCTTGCTTGCAAAACATTTCACTTTCGAAACAAAATTTGCAATTAACAAAAACGCCATTGCTTATGTGCCAACCCAATAAAATAGGTTATCATGTGGTAAAGCGATTTGTTTCTAAGAATAGATTCAAATGTGTGGCACGAAAAAAAGCATTGGCGAGGACATTCCGATCATGAATAATATGCGATATGCAGTGAGTTTGAATGGTGACGACTGAACGTGGGAGACTCTCGCGGGAGTTTTTGCCTTATTAGAAGGAACAGCAATGACGATTCAGGCACATTTGCAAACTCATTTTCTTCCATTTATGTAGTATGAGTTTAAGGTTTGCCACGTCCTATGCAGCTGCTAATCCATCATTTGAAATTTCGGAAATCATTCTTCATGACACAGCAGAAGCTTCTGAGCAACTAGGGTGCGTTCTAATGAGTTTGACATAACTACGAGTTTTCCATTCGAACCACCTTATCTATCTCTATGGTTTTGTCTCAATTATATTGTGATCCATACATTTTTTTGTGAGATTCTACACTTCAGTAATCGAAGTTGTCACGCTCCGATAGTTTTTGCAAGAATGCTGAGGCTTAAGTCTTGGTCATAGGCAGGACACGAACCAACACCTCACCTTTCCGAGCGACCATTACGTCACCGCCCTTTCAGCTCAATGGATTTTGTGCCATAGCCTTGCACCACTCACAATTTAACGTTATGAGCCTGATACTGATAGTGAACCGCAATGCTGGATGTTCAGAATTGAGTTCTCTTATTATGTGAAATTCGCCCGAAACGGCCCAATATTCAACTCCTCTGCGCCCTCACATGTGGCGAAGGTAACATACCAGAACCATATCAGAAACTTGTGGATCTCTGGGAGGTACGACCACACCGAGATTGCTCATCAATTCTAGTCGCTTCTGAATGCCACTTTCATGCCGCTTATGGTAATAGAGAAGTTGACGAATGACGTGCACCTTCGAACAAGATTGAGCGCTTCTTCTCGTCGTAGTCACCGGAATTCCTGAAGAACATAATCAAGAAGTTACAGCTGTATACTCGCCCTAGATACTAATGATGAATTTCTTATTGATTGAGTCCTCGTTCGATGAAGAACTATCCAACCTAAAATTTCCATTATTTCCATTAAGTGTTGCAGAATTTTTTTCCGATCTTAGAAGGCCTCTGCTTGTTAGGGTTGCTCTTGAAGGACTTCAAGTCATTCTCATCTGGCGTTCTCGATGTTAGTAAGGCGGGCACAATATCATAAGTCTTATTCTTTTCTACTATCAGCAATTATTTCTGCAATTATTTACTTGTCATAATTACCTTGACATTGCCATTGCTTCGTTTACTCAAACGACTTGTTCATCATTACAGCCGTTGCCCTTACACTATTACCTACTTGTTTCCAACGTTCTCTCCCGAGACTTGATCGCTCGGTGCTTGGAAATTTCCAAAGGCATCTTATAGTAAACATTATCATCACGTTGCAGGTTGAAAAACCACAGCAAAGAAGTCGGCGGGAAGAGGAGGGGGGGAGGTCGTATCAAAGGGAACATTCAGAAGGCCGTACTTTGCAGCAAAAATTCTTCCCAAGTCCTGGTTACCATGTGTTACCGAACCAGTCATTCATTCAGCCATTCACTCAGTATGACTTTCGCATACCCTACACCTCCACGTCGTTGTAAAAAAGCTATGGTGCAGTCGTACTAGAATGCTCACAACCGTCTATGTGAATGTTTTCAATATTCTGTTCCTCCAGTATCCACCAATTTTGCCGGCTTCACGAATTCTGATGCATGTTACCAACATCAGCACGAGGGGCAAATGATGTGCGCGAGTCATTTCGACGAGGCGTCGACCAGTTGCAGTGCGGTGCTCAGGCTGAAAGTTCCATTGAGATTAATTGTTCTGCCGTCTCCGCTAAGCTTCCAGATATTGCTATGCTCGTGATAAAAGGAAAAACAATCATGTAATTCCTATAGGATTTAGAACAATTTTGAACTAATGCTGCCCACTTATTTTTCTCAAAACACAGTGCCCTTCTAAGGTTTTTTTTAACAAATGAGATGTGAGCTGTGCATGAGTTCAGGGCCATTCGCCGTCTACAAGCTTCCCTTCGTGCTGCTTGGACGCAATTCGATCTCTCGTCAATGAGGCTGGGAACATTTTGCTTCATAGACACGCTCCTCTTTACATTCTCCTCTCTTCCTTTGACAACTGCGCAATTCCTTGTAAGGTCTGGATGCCTACTTCTTCAACTGTCCATCATCCTCGGCGGTTCCAATGAGAATGCTGCTGTGTCCCTGTTACTGGTACTTTTTTTCAGTAGCAATGTTTACTCACTAAGTTTTCCCGGTATCGATGTTTTCAGGCTGTTCTTCCGCTATCAACCCTCACATCTGTGATTCCTATAATCTCAGGTCTATTTCCACTGCGACCGCCATCAGTGCATGTGCTTTTTGTGTGTTTATGTGTGCTCTTGCATTCGGTCTCATTTCTTTCAAATAGTTTTGTGGTTTATGAGGGTCATGTGCTAAGATTCTTGGCACAAAGTGCATTGGTTGTTTGTTTTGCTGCGAAAATAATCAGGTAAGTAGATTTTAAAGTTAGTTTAGTATGATGTACGAGTTTTGAAATCGGTCCGTTTTCAGAGCCAAGTCAAATCGCAAGCTAACATCACGTGTTGCTTCGGGTGTTTCAGCATTCTTTTCCCGATTGCAAATTTGGGATGCTGGGTTGGTTAGTACTGCTCTCCTGCTTCTTCGTTTTGAACCTCTTTTTCATCGGTGTCGAGAAGAAGAGCTAAACTGCCAGCAATGGTTCCCCCTGAGCTTGATATCTTCATTGTCTTGTAAGTTTTCGTTGTGAGATATGACTTGATTTATTTAATTATCTATATCGCTCTGAGGCTGCTAACCGGTGTCAATCACTTAGCGCTTCGCAAGGTTTCGTTCACCTGCTTTTCGGCAGCGGTATATACGGCTGTTAGCAGATTTTGTGAATCTTTCCAATGAAAAATGTTTTTCACCTACGAGTTAGATTCATAACTTTCTTTCCAGCTGATGCAATATTCTGGCGGTTCGTGTTGGCTACAGCCGTCTTGTTTTCGTTAAATGTCTACGTCGGTCGCGTTCTGCCTGATGCACTGCCTAACTCTCTCAAAGTATGCCTTTAATTCATCATCTTGCTTTTAATGTCGGGTGTTTGTTCTACTGCAGTTACGATTACAACCATAGAAAATTTATAGCCAAAGTGTGAAATGTCTTGAATTGCAAGCTTTTTTGTTGGTTTTTTTTACGAAAGTACGCGCATATATGAAGAGACTTCAGAAAATATTTTCTCATCCCCTCTCTCCCCTTCCCTACACCTCTCCCAAACCATGTCGTTAGATGGGATCTAGCAAGGCTCTCACAAGGGAATGGTTTCAACTTCCCATGGAACTTTGGATCGAGACCTAGATACATTGATAGAGTCTCGAATGCTGATTACGAAAATGAAGATTAAAAGTGCTACGGAGACCTCCCCGACGATTTCCGGGTGGGCGAAACTTGCTTAAAGGGGCGATATTGTCACATAAGGCGCGCCGGACTCAGTTCCGGCAAGAGGCGCCGTGGCCTAGTGGTAAGTGTCTCGCTCTCTAGGCGGCAGCATGCGGGTTTGCTCCCCACCAACGACAAAGTTTTTGCTCTTTCTCCAATGGAACCTTTTGTTTCAAATTTCGATACTTCTTTGAGAAGGTGGCGAAACAGATCATGTAGATCAAATGTCTGACGTGGCAAACCAAGTCGAATCCTGCTGCGTTATCGATTTGTATTCATTAACCATGTCCTTCTCTCCTGCAAGGGTAGTGTGCGATTGTGTTATTGATGTTTTATTATGCGATTCCATCAATGTTGAATGAAGTTTCGGGACTATAAGCTGTTGTGTAGACCGTGCAAAATGAAATCGGAATAAACTCACTTGCAGTCATTTCATCTTTATTGGGCACAGCAAACCTGGACGACAGTTGAAATTCACCGGATTTCAGAGAAATATCGAAATTTGAAACAAAAGGTTCCATTGGAGAAAGAGCAAAAACCTTGTCGTTCGTGGGGAGCAAACCCGCATGCTGCCGCCTAGAGAGCGAGGCACTTACCACTAGGCCACGTCGCCTCTTGCCGGAGCCGAGTCAGCGCGCCTTATGTGACAGTATCGCCCCTTCAAGCAAGTTTCGACCACCCGGAAATCGTCGCGGAGGTCTCCGTAGCACTTTTAATCCTCATTTTCGTAATCAGCATTCGAGACTCTATCAATGTACCTAGGTCTCGATTCAAAGTTCCATGGGAAGTTGAAACCATTCCCTTGTCAGCATTCTCCCTTTCTTTAGAGGCTTCCACCAATGGGGCGGACGGTTGAGGCTCGCAGGGTGTTAGCACTGTTGATAAGGTCAATGATTTTGGCAGGCCCTTAATCGGAAGGTAGCTGACAAAGGTATAATAAGATGGTCAGTATCCAGCTTGCACTGCTGCTATGTGTCTCCCCCCCCCCATCATCCTTGCTGTGAGCGAAAGTACTCTAGTATTTCCCCTATTGGCAGACGCGAAGCTTCCTAGTCCTTGGGTTTTTGCAAAAAAAAACCTCACTCGGAGCTACTTTCGTCCTCGTGTTCGCCTCTGAGCTCGCTTCGTTGGCGTTGGCGTTAGCATTGATAGTTTCTGGCCGATGGAGTTCGCATACCTGTGACGAGGTAGAGCCTTCAGAGTTGCTCAAAGGAGATCATGCTGAATTAGTAGATTGCTGTTCCTTTGTTGACAGAGTCGTTGATGCCAATGGAATCATGACTTTTCAGATTGCCAGGGCGCTATCTTGGCCAGTCCATACGTTCCTTACTTTCTATCATCTAGTTCGACTCACTCCACAAACTGACGATATGGAACGAAGAACGCAGTTGTTGGGATTGGCTCTTGCGCAGGTAAGATTCTGCTAAACATCAGTGAACTACGATACAACGCTCACTGCGTCGACAAGGCGAGGACAGGATCCAACAAGGGATGTTTTCCAGGTCATGGAGCGTTTTTTTTTCAAAATTGTTCTTTAATAATACGTTCAGTGGCTCTTGCATGAACAAAAACATGTGATGGTTTGTTCCCATAAAGCCGGCTACCATCATTCCGGATCGTCGGTAAATGGCAGATAGTTCGATTCTTCCACCCGGTGAGACAAACACTTTGCTTTTCCACAGTTCCCATTTTCTTGTGTTCGATGTACGTTGATACTTTTATACAAGCGGAAACATGCCAAATCGGGCGGCCTGAAGAATAGACATTCGTGGAACTATAGACGGTAACCCTTAAACACAGACGACGGTTCAGCGTGGCGGCACTTTAGCTAGACGGCGGGTTGACTACAGACTACGGGAGGTACTGTAGGCATTCTCCTGAGCCTGCTGCGACTCATGACCTTAATTGCTGCTGCTAAACTGACCTCCTCATGGCTGCTCAAGCGCGTCGGTATTAATATGGTACCATTGACCTCGTTGATGACTTTGTGCACCTGTGATTCGAGGCATAATTAAAGAGGTGGCGAAGGGGACTCATCAGCCGAGGCCACGTCAGCCGAGGGCCACACACTGAGCTACAAGATCCGCCACAAATTGACGTGGAAAACCCTAAAACAGCCGTTAAAAAACGTTGAGCATCTTCCAAGGCAAGAAGGCTTACGAAAAGATAATACGATAAGAAACCGCAAAGTACGATATCCCATACTGGGTTACGAAGCTGCTATCCCTTGGATATCGCTAAATCTCATGACTACTTTTGGAGTAGAAAGCTTAACTATGAATCATGGGCGCGCCCTCACACGTCTTTAAGGACAAGTAAGTGCTGCACGATGGTAGATATGATGCCCATTCTCTCCTGATTCAGAGATTTCAAGATTATAATCTGGAAAACCGTCTGGAGAACGCTAGGACATCACGACAATGAGTACATGGAGGAGGAAAGATAAAATAACTGCAGAAATTGCCCACACAGTAGGCCTTTTTTCAAATCACTTTCTTCGGTTACCATTAAACGAGATGAATAATTATTGTCACATTCAACCACCTTATATTTAGCAGGGGGAGTATCAGTGGCTCAAAATGAGAGCGCCTACTGCCATAAAGATGTCCGCCATTGTTACAAAACAAAACTATGTGATACTTTTATTCCATTTGGCACACTTGGTTTTTGGTTGAATAGTTGTAGTAATAAACATTACATTAATAAGCTAATAAATAGATGCACAAGGGCTTAGTATGGCAACCTTTTTAGCCCACTTTATGAAAATTTTCACCTGAATCATGTCGATTTGGATACGCTTAATATCCTCTCCTTCTTACCGAGCGCCAACCGGGCGTTTAGCGCGACATCTTCTTCTTTCATTCTTCTTCTTCCTCAGCCGTTTTGTCCCGCTCTGCAGGGGTCCGCTCGTCTTATTTTCGTCACTGCCACTCACCCGATTTGAATGCTGATCGGGATAGGCCGCCAACTATCTTTAAGCTCGCGCATGCAACATGTCAACAGTCGGCTCCGCCTTGGGGCGTCCCTTGTTGTAGCCCGCTTTCCGCCTGATCTTTCGCAGCGTTTCAAGCCACGATACTACGGTCGGGTGTCACACCTCACGGCGCGAAGAACATGACCCATACAGGACGAGCTTCGCGCATTTTCTCCGGCACAGGAGCCAATACCGCAATCTTTTCCCTATGTCGTCATGCGTATTGCCGATCCATACGCGCGAGACACCGGCTGGTCCACCGGCAACATTTTTCATCTCATAACTACCGAGCCGCGCGTTAAACTTCTCTCGGTCGTAGGCCAACATTCAGCACCGTACTATCGCGCACTGGTCGAACCACGGACTATTATGCTTCAATTATGAGGCGGATCTGGTATCGCTTCTCTGGTCGCACGAGAACGCCAGTCATAGACCGCCACTTAGGACGGGGCCAGCACTGCCACACGCGCGCTAACTTCTTTGCAGTAGAGACTAACGCGTCAGACGTAATTGTTGATCTGCAGGTATTTTTGAACGCGTGTCGTTCGTTGTGAGCACCACTTACGCTGACCCTAAGGGATCCCAGAGCTCGTCCGGCGTCCCAGTGTCAGGTACTCGGCTTTCTTCACCGTTCAATCTAAGGGCCGACAGTTTGCTAAACCCATTCAGTCAATGTCCTGCACTTGTTCCTCCGAGACCATTTATCTCTCGCAGGCCAGCATCCAACGTCAGACGTAGAGACAGCGGGTCACCCCAACGGTGAGGGGGAACCCCATCGGAAGTGCCTTGCTGGACTTCGCGCTCGGACGTCGTCGGGTGTGGAGTACAGAGGATGCGTACCCACTCAATCAGCTCTTCTGGAACGCGTTGGCTGCGGCGAGGCATACCATAATAACTTTGACGTGGGACCCGGCGAATGCCTTGCTTCAGAATCCAGGGAAGGCTAGCGTGAACAATGCTTTCTCCCTTTCCCACAATGTTTCTCTAGCAAGCAGACGAGCGGCAATGCTATGGCCGTCGATGGTGCTGCAGCCAGTCGACGAAGCCCACACTGCGTTGGTTGAGGAGCTGGACGACTAACACGAAGACGCTTTATCCAACAATTCGCTCAAAATTCTTCATTGCCTGTGCGAGAAGCAACCGAATTGCGACGATAATTCGAGCAGTCTTGCCAGGACTTGCCTTTTTTCTTCCAGATCAGTACCGTCGTGCTTCTCTTGCCATACTTCAGGCCATTTTCTTCTCTGCAAGTGTTGCTGATTGAAAAACCGTTGTCAAACCATTCGGCAGCATTGCAGCACAGTGTGATTCCATACTTCGACCCGCCACCGTCATCAGGCCCGGTTGCCATCTTTTCGAAGCGGACAACGTATGTTGGTAAGGCGCGAGCGGTAATTGCGTCGGGTGTTGCATATTCCACTGTGGAAGCATGTTCTCTAAAGTAGTTTCGCGCGCCATCGCCTCAGCACCTTATGTCTCGGCTACATCAGGAGGCGACCCTTCCTCGCTGCATTAATGGCCAAAGAAACTTCTCCAGTCTGTTTCGGCCTGGCGGGTGACGAGCTTAGCAAGTCGGTAAATGCTGCTGCCTCGCCAATCTTCCAGGTGTTTTCCGCTCTTGCCTGCATTTCATCGAAGTGGAAGCTTTTGCGGCCCCACAGCCTTCTTTTGCTGCCTTTTTTCGCCTTTCTTGGTATTTTTGCAGTTGCCTTGCTGCTCTTGTCCTTCAAGGAACAACTGGTAGCGCTTCTTCTTTCTCGTGAAACCTTTGTCCCTGACGTTATCTCTGTCTCCACAACCATGCCGGCTTTTTAATTCTACGCCCTTCCAGTTTCGTTGCTTCAAGTCAGAAGCGAAGCGCTTGCGACCAATGTGCTTTGCCAGCATTCTTCCATCGCTTTGCGCGTCGAGCCAGTTGTGACAGCCTGGGTAATTGAATGCGACGAGAACACAGCTGCCCTCTTTTCCTTTCAGATGCCACCATTATAATCCTTTTCGGGCATCATCGCTGTCCATCTGTTTCGACCTGGGCGGTCGTTATCTTTAGCGTGCAGATACGCGCGGGCCGATGTTCCGAGGCTACTGTTCCATACGGCACGCGTCTCCGGTCTGTTTTCTTTCTTATGACAAAACCTTGGTCGGATTGCCTGACAAGAACAAGTCTTTTGCTGTGTCTGGCGCTTCCGCTGTAGGGGAAAAAAGGTTATCAGGTCGCGGAGTATTACGAACTTCGACTGTGTCTCACATGGCCGAGATTACGGCTTCACGCATATTTCCAAGATGCGTTCGCCATGCGCCGTCCGCGTTACGCTGTCCATAACGAAACCACCATGACAGCTGTAACCGCTCGTTCATTGCGCCACACGTGCCCTTTAAAGCGTACCAGCGACAATTACGACGTTCCTCCTGAGACGTACCCCTCAGCTTTCTTTCCGTCGACAGCGAGCAGTCAAAACTGTTTCCTTTGATTGTTCAGCGCATCCCGAGTTTGCGAGCAATGCAAAAAAAGTTGGTACAGTCGTGGGTCGGACAGGCAAGAACTATCTTCCATCAAGCGGTTCGTCGAAACGTTCCACGCTAGCTATCGAGTACCGGGAAACGTCGTTGAGACCGATCTACGCCGCACCTGTTACGTGGTCCTTGGCTGCGCCCGCCGAAAGAATTGGCTTTGAAGCCTCGAGCAAGGTCTCTTCGACTTGCAACCTGGACCGATTCTTGTTTCCTGCACTGCACAGAGAAGTCGATTTGTCTTGCGCTCCAGTTGCCTTTGCCCTAATTCAGCATGAACGCCGGTCAAGCGTTCCAACGATTTAACGCTTGCCGATCGGAGTTTAACAAGGCTGGCTCCTGCCACGATTTTGGGATTGTCCTTGCACGCAGAACCTTGATAGCTCCCACTCGCCGGGGGCCTACGATGTGGCGCGTCGGCTGCCCGCGAACGCGCGTGAGCATTATCCTCGATATAGAATGTCGGCATGGACAAAACTTATTTGATGTGCACCATGCGTGTTCCGATTAGGCCGGCCCCTGTCACGAGAGGCCTGTCCACCGTTGCGTTCGTGCGTCTTGCGTTGGCCCAACTCGCAAAAGCGAGCAGTATCCAGTGGCCGGCTGTGGAGAGCAGACTTCCACCACCGGTTAGCGCGAATCCCATCCCTCTCTCC